AAAATTACACACGCATCTTAATACCCTCTTTTGTCGATGTTTGTAAATTAATTAACCAACGAACGAAACCCAAAAGAGCAAAAACCAATCAAACCCCCAAACAAATCAAAAAGGGCAATGTCCCCTGGGACAGGGCAGCGCAACAACGAGATGTGACCCATTTTTTTATATCTTACCCGTGGGGGCAAATAGCCCTTTGGGTCTGCGCCCCCCCCCTTCCCGATCGCAGAATGATGAGCCAGTGGATTGTTTTGCGGTAGTAACACTTTTTAACTGCAACAGGAAAGAAAAAAAAAAAATTGGAAGTGTCGCAAGAGTCCAGCTCGGTAATTCTCAGGTACTGTTGTGTGGAAGTTTAAAATGTGTAGACTGAGAAAATTGTGAAAGTAAAGGGCGGGGAAAAAAAAAATAAATAGAATAAGAATAATAACGGGGTATACCTGGATTTGTTAGTCATGCCATGAATTAAGGAAGATCCTATCTTCATCTTAGTAAAGCAACAACAAATGCAATAGTAAATTTTGGACAAAATAGATTATAGTGAAAAATGAAATTTATTAGAAAATGGTACTTAGGCCCCATTAGCACATTTATTCAGAGATATAAATTTAAAAACAATAAAAATTTAAACACTGAAAACAGCGGGGGCTCGATACCATGCCCAGCCTTTTGGGGAGGGTAGGGGCCCGAGCCAACTTTCAGTTTACAAAATTTGTCTTTTTCCCCTTTGCACCCTGGGGGGGGATGGGAGACCCAAAAGGGCCTAACTTTTCCTACGAGCCCTTGGGGGGGGGGTGGTTTGGCCCCGGGACGTTGGCCCGGGTTGAGGATACGATCGACACCATGCCCACCCTTTTAAAATAGGTTGTCCGGCCACGCTAGTGGAGTTTGTCGTAAAAAATTGCATTTTGGTCACAAGGGGCCTGTGCTAACTTTTTATGGTGTAGAAAAATACCTATTGGATAATCTTTTGTGCTAGTGGGCTAGTGGCTAACGCGACGGGTGAGTTTTTTAGACCATGCCGGGTTTTAACCGGGGAGGGGGGTTTGGTTATTTGCAAATCGTGTCATTACGATTTTTGAGTGTTCTAGGGCAGGTTTGGTGCCCGAGCCCGACTTTTCTACAAGATGAGGGGGGACTTGTGCCCCTCCATGGGAGACTTAGGTCCAGCACCCCTAGGCGGGAAACCCGTGCCGGGGGCCCCCACTTGGAAAAGGCCCGGGCCGGGGAAACCCGGCGAATCTTTAACAACAACGATAGTCACTCATGTGGGTCAACTTTTCTTCAAAAAATTCAATGCCTCTAAAAAATGGTCCCTTAAAAAAAAGTAACATCCAAAAACAAATGGCTTTCGCAACCAACACCTCCCAGATCTATAATAATACTTGAAAAAAATATAAATGGGCTTAACTCTCAAAGGGAAAAACAAAATATATACGGCTTAAAACTCCCCCCTTCCACTTGGGGGGGCCCCCGGGGTTTGATTCCCGGGGGGTGGAAAAATTTCGACACGTTTCCCTTTCACCTGTTTCATACATAGCACAAATAGGTACCCGGGGGTTATCACTGGTGGGGGTCGCATCCCGGGGGAAAGATTAAGGGCCCCCAAAGGAAAAAAGTTAAACTTCTCGATGACCCTGCTTTCTTGGGGGTTTTCCGGGGGGCAAACCCCCGGGGGTTAAAAATCCGAACGAAATCTTATCTTATTAACCTTACCGTCTTTTTTGAGAAAACTAAAAACTGTTTAGTTTTTCAGGGTTTAAAGAATAAAGGGCGATATCAAAACGACCTGAAAATGCTCTCACAAATTCGGGGTCCAACAAAAAGCAAAAGACAAAAGATTTTGAGTGAAAGATAAAAAACTTTTTATCCCTACGCTGAACAGTAAAAAAAACCAGGGCTTTCTCTAATAGAGAGTAACCTTGCCCCACTATCCCAAAATTCACTGCTCTGTTTTTGATTACCCCAGAGCCGGGCCCCAAAGGTCCCTCCCCCGTCTCCCACAAATCATACAAAGATAACCCAATACTAAAAGCCCTCAATAAAAGGGAGTAATAAAGCGAGTTAAAAACTACTAATATAAACAGTGTCCATGTTTTATCCCTATCTTTGGGATTTGTTTAATAAGTCCCTTAACTCAAACTTTTTTCCCAAAATATTTAAGCTTGTGCGAGTACCTCATCCATAAGTGGGGAAAACCCCGCTTACATCAACACTACCCAGTCATGAATGGAGAAACCCCCTTTCACAACAGCTCCCCCATACATGAAGGGGGACCCAGTTACATCAACATTACCTCAGTCCAGAAGGCGGGGAACCCCTTACATCAACAGCTACCCCGTCCATGAAGGTGGGGACCCCGCTTACTCAACAGCTACCCAGCCATGGAAAGGGGGAGACCCAGCTTACATCAACAGTACCTCAGTCCCTGAAGGTGGAGACCCAGTTTTTCATCAACGTTACCTCATCCCCTGCGGCGGAGACCCAGCTTAATCAAAAAGCTTTTCCTCAGCCATGAAGGGGGAGCCCCCGCTTTCATCAAAAGCTACCCATCCATGAAGGGGGAGACCCAGCTTTCATCAACAGTACCCCAGTCCCCGAAGGGGGAGACCCGCTTACATAACGCCCCCCAGTCCTGAGGGGAACCCACTACTCAACAGTTACCTCAACAAAAAGGTGAGACCAGCTTACATCAACAGCTACCCAGTCCATGAAGGTGGAGCCCACTTACTCAACAGTTACCTCAGTACATGAAGGTGGGGACCCGCTTACACAACACTAACCCCAGTCCATGAAGGGGACCCATTTCATAACGCTACACACCAAACTCGACTTTCATTTATGAAATTTTTGAAAAGGCAAAATTTAAAAAAATGAATCTATGTATTTATCACTAACTTAAAATTAACCCTTAAATTGGGGGTTTGGGCCAGGAAAAAGTACTAAAGATGAAATTTTAATTTTCTGATTCGTCTATTCCCTCAGAAAATAATGAATATTTAATAGGCCTTTTACGATCTAAGAAAAGTTTGACACATAGACCATAAACTTTCTGCCGAAACTAGATCTTCATTATATAAGACTCAAGCTTTTTCTTTTTAGTGGTTTTTAGAGACAATGGCCATTGGCTGTCAATGACACTACATTTATCTCCGTCTATCAAAATAGTTTGGATAGGTCCTTGGCTCACTGTATTTTTCATCTGTACAAATGATCTACAAAATACCCCCCGAAACTTAAACCAGTTCTGCTTATAAACCTAACATTTGCAATGAAAACTTGTCCAACTGTCCCCAACAATACAACAACGAACTTACCCCAATATTGACAACCTTTAATGTTGTAAGGAATAAGCTAAAAATGTCTTTTTCAAAAAAAAAAATAATTTTCGTAAGGGACAAGAGGGAAAATTCTTAGGTTTCACCTTGGTGCAACCTGAAATTCAGTGTTCACTGCAACAAATATCAAAGAAAAACTTTCCAAAACAGAGACATTTTTAAAAAAACACTAGTTCGTCAACAACATTTCTGTGTACTCAAGATCATACTTTGAAGTAAGTTATTCAGGGATACCAAATACAGTTACATAATTATCTAATAGCACTATGTGTAGAGAACTGACAGTACCCCCCGCTTGCTACCCGCTTTTTGGGACTGTAGGGAAGCCTTCACATTTACCACCTAAATTTTCAGCAGATGTTTGGGTGAACAGTGGTCTGTCCCCCGGGGATCGTGTTTTATCACAGTAGACGACTTACAGGACTAAAAAGCTACAATATTTCATCTACAAAACAGACACATCGTTTACAGCCGCGCCCTCACAGCTTGCTTCTTGCCGCGCCCACCACTGAGGTCAGCGGACCCCTCAACCCGTGAAAAATGTGGCAAAGTTCCGTCCCATGATTTTTTTCCGCAGCAAACGTACGGACTCATGTGCTAACTGGTAAACCTAAAGAAAAAAAACCCTTTAAATATTGAAAACGAAACATACACAAAAAGAAACCCTTTACGCACATAAGAGCCAGAAATAAAAAAATGCAACAGTTGTGGGTGCGATAGAAAAAGATAATAAAACAGAAAAAAGCCTCCCCCACCCTCCTCCTTTCCCCTTAAAAGGAAATACAAAAGGCTCGCAAACCTGAAATATAAAAAAAATTTCTTAGATTAAAATTACTGAAAACGATACCGATCCTTAACCCCGGGATCCTTTTAAAAAAGTCGCTTTTAAGTGGGTTTAAGGCAATGCGAACGTTGTTCCGCCTTTTAGGCAGGAGAATTGTCACAGGATCTAACTTGGCTGGCCGCGTAGTCTGGTAAATTTTTCTACCGTGTATCGTGGGTTTTGTACTCTAAATAAAATTTCAAAAT